ATAAGATAATAACAGATAATATGAAACCCATACAAGTCAATATACTACCAAATAATCAAACAAATAATTTAGTATTTTTAAAACCACTTAGTTTAATGGAAAACAGAGTAATAGCCCTATGGAAGAATGAATAGCAAATAATTGTGGATGCAAATTACGAAAGGATGCATTAAGCATAACACTTATATGAGGAAAGTGTTACATATTTGAAAAGAAACAAATTAAATACTGATAAAAATTGCTATCCCAAATTTTCAAATTTCAGTTTGGAATCTCAATGAAAACTTAGCATTGAAAATTTTCTTAAATACTAAGATAGTAAAAAACGTTTCAATTAATAAAAAAATGTATTATTACCAATTATATAACATTTAGCATTAAAAATATCTTAATTTAGAAATATCTTTTTTATATGCAATTTAGGAATATCTTTTGATAATTACAACAAAATTGCAAATGTTAACGAAGACAACGAGATAAATTTTTTTTTAAATGTGTTTAAACCCTCCCGGCCTGTAATCCTTCCTCAAAAAACTCTAAAAGTTCACCAAACAAAAAACATGAGTAACTAATATTTTTTATTATAATTTTAAAATGACCCCTTCCACTTTGTATCTTGACTAATTTTTCTTCCAATTCATATAATCTACCTCAATTGTTTGGAAATGTTTCAAGATACATATCTGTATACCTTAAAGGTAATATGACTAAAATTTTTTAATGTTCATATGGCATCAAGTTTCCAATATGCATAGTGCCTGATGATATTTGTTTACTAGACTAATTCAAATTTCAATATTTGGCAACACTGATGTTATTTACATAAAAAGGATTAATTCAATTTAATAGATCTGACATCAGTTAAGAAAGTTGATTTAGAAGATATTCTGCTCTAGTGAATGCTTTTTAATAAAGTTGTATATATATTAGAAACATTGAAAATTCAAAGATACAAAATTTTAGAAATCAATAACAGTGTCTAAACCAGACTCAACCAATGCTGTACTATACACTGAAATGGGATTCATCAAAAATGATTATCTGAAGCTACAATAAAGGCTCTGTTCATCAACTTTCTGTAGCCACATGTGTCAATGGTTTTGCATCAGTGAAATCCTGTGCAAATGAATGGACACACACAATTCACAATGCAGCAGATGTGTCTGAACTGTTGAAACTGAGAATGAAACATTTGTAACAGTGTCCCAAAATACTACTATTAAAAACTAGGAATTATAATGCCAAATATGCATTACGATTCTAAAATTCTAATATGATGCTGCACACTTTCCATAAAGTTCAGTTTATTCGCATGATTACTTCATGGTGTTGCAAACTGTAGCATTTTATTAGAAAAGTAAAATAAAGATTGGAATTATTAAGAAATGCATTTATTGTTTTTAAGTTATTCTGTTTGTAAATGTATACCAGACTGGTTAAATTTGAAAGATAAATTAAAAATCTTATGCTTTATAAAATGCGGCCATTCAAAGAATCAGTTGTGTACAAGCGCACAGGGAACATAGAATGAAGCTAATGTGTTCTACTCAGTGGCAACACTTCTGAAGGCATGCGAATGATATATGTGTAGTAAAATTTGGGATTTTAAGAATTAAATAATTTCTGTATTCTGCTGAATTAATTAGATATTAAGTTTAATTATTTTCTCTCAAAAGAAGCGTTTATTCGTGTATTTTTGTTATAAGGAGATTAACTTTTCTTTTATGTTCGCTTAATTCTTAATATATTGGGATACAGTGTCTGTGAACCAGTGTCTCAAGTAAAATTTATGTAAAATTGTTTAATATCAAGTGAAAGAGAAAAATTTAGTGAACTGTAATGAGTTAATTGTGAAATGTTAGTTTGATTTAACGATTAATGTAAAGGAACAGGTTTGCCTGATATTCATTTCCTTTGCGACATTTAATTTTTCCTGTCTTCTTTCACTCAGGGAATGTGCCACAGGATTCTAGAAGCTAGGTCTTTGTTCAGAGTTTAGCTGAAGGCATGTGTACGTGATTAGTTATTCTTGTAAACAGGAAGGTTAATGGAAAAGGTCGGGAAAAAGTCAGGATTTTGGCGAGTCAGTTGAGAGAATTGGTGAATATTCATGGATAGCAGACTTGCGTAGTAGAGACTTGACTAGTTTGGAAAACAAAGATTGGACTTTGGAAGCTTTTGAGGGCCGAGTTTTGCCAAGTTTGGAAAACAATGCTTGTTGGTATTTAAAAGAGAAAATATGAGTGTTCTCGCTCTCTGGAATTTGGATTCTTCTTGTTCGTTTTGCTGCGGACATTCTTGAAGTGTTCATCTGATCTTCCTGCACTGTTTAGCTGCTGAGTCAAATAGTGGGCTATTCTAATGTTCCTACCTGAGGTGTTCATTTTGTTATGTGCTTGAAGTCTTTTCGTGAGAAGTATGAGACCACAATTCCCTTGAGACTCAATCTAAGGGCATGCATTAATACTTGATTTGGGAGTGTTGATAAGATTTGTCTGCTGTAAGGATTCTGTCCCGTTACAATATGGTGTGAGTGGTCTCTATGAAGCTAACTGACAAGTGATGAGAGAAAGGAATGGATGACCGACGAAATAGATGTGTCGGAGGTGCTTCCCCATGATGACCCACCAATGAACGCAGAAAGGAGAAAAGCACCCTACGACAGGCCCTTTGCCATTCTCGACAGAACCGCGGAGAGTGACACCGTTAGTGACCACAGCAGAAGGATGGAACACTGGACCATTACAGTATCAACCAGCTAAGTCTTTGGTTCCTTTATCACTCCGTAAGAATTTTGTTTGCATTCCTTTTTACCTGATTAATCAAAGAACTACAGGAGTCCCTGTTTCTCTTATCATTTTAGAGAATCTTATTTTTCCTTTAATTTTTGTATCATTAGAGATAGAGTTCTGTTAGATTTTTTGAAGTACAAGTATTAATGTAATGAATATCAGGAATTTAGTAATGTATAAGGTCTTAATTCATCAAGAGATCAAAAGGATACAGAATCTTATTTTTTCTTTAATTTGTGTTCATGCGAGCGTTTTGTTAGATTTTTTTGAAGCACAAGTATTAATGTAATGAATATCGGAAACTTAGTAATGTATAAGGTCTTAATTAATCAAGAAAAAAAAAAAAAGGTGGAAAAATTTATGTACTGTAATGTATCCTAACATGGATGACCTCTTCGGCTAATTGGCCGAGGTAAGAGAGATGTCTGATTTTAATTACCTTTCTTAAATTTTGTTTTATTTATTCCCCGGGGAGGTAACTTTTAAGAAATATGTTTTGTCATGAAGTAGAATAGAATTAATTAAATAAGAATGCAGTTTGCATGACTATGCAAACAATTGTGTTATTTGAATAGAATGCTACGCTGGTTTGCTATTTCATGTTTTACTATGGAATAAGGATTTTTCAAAAATAGCAGGGAACCTGATTTTTATCAAAGCCATTTCCAGCAGCAGATCCCGGGTGCGGATACACAATGCTTCTAATATTATTAAGACTTTACGAACCACCTATCAGGGTTTCTTTCCTAATTATGCTTGCCAACCGCATGATTTATTTTAGTAATTTGGACTTAGCTAATAGTCAGTACTCATTTACAGTATTATACCATTTTATATTACTACAAGTTGTATTTAACATTAAAAGGTAAGGAAATTTGCTATCTAACAGCTGCTTCTGAATATATCTCATTTTAATCTATCAGTCTTCCAGGCATGACTCTGTCTACAGGTTTAATATCATCAGGACATGATTTGGGAACTATGCTTAAAATAATATAAAAAATATTTGCTTTACATCAATACATTTATAAAATAGTCAATTTATTATTTGACAAAGTGGTTTTAAAAAATGTCATATACCGTTTATTTACTGACCGTATACTCGTAATTTGAGAAACGGAACCTTATTCATGATAAAAGGCATTTCAGCTGTCATTTCAGTTAAATAGTCAAGACTGCTTTATTTAATTTACATATATATTAGTAAAATTGAGAAAAAATTTATTCAGGCTTACTCAGCAGATTAAATATTCATTATATTAAGCAAAATAATTTGCGATTAACAAACACAATTTCTTCAAATCTGATATTGAAAAATTAAATTATTATTACCTTCTTAACTGCTGCAGGCGTATATATACGTCTTGCTCAGCCGATGCATTAATTGCCCTGAGCATATATATATATATATATACAGCCTATCATTGGCTTTTCACTGCTACCAGTAAAATTGTTCGCAAAGATTTTTAATGCAACACCACAATGACCTTGACAGAGTATACGAAGGAGGATACTATTTCAGAGAAAAGGGTAGAGGTATTGGAGAGGGAGTGCTTCTGAAATGGTGAAAGTAATGACTGCACGGTATTTGCTCATGTTTTTTGTTTGAGTAAAACATATTTTTTTTATTCTGTGTATTATTTCTCTCGTTTTCGTTTACTGTTTGTAGTAGATGCAAGGAATAAAAACGAATTTTTCAAATCCACCTATCTCTTTTGAATTATTTTTTGATGAACTGCTCGTGCTTCATATTGTTAAAACTAACTGTTTTGCAGGCCAGTATATGAACCAACATCCTGCAAAAGAAAAGTCAAGAACAAAATTGTGGCATCCAACCAATTCAGAAAAAATATGTTTTTTTTTTTTTTTTTTATGTATACTACTTATAAAGGTATAACACTAAAATCTGACATTACACTTTACTAGTCTAAAAATAAATTAATCAAAACTTCATTTTTGTAATCTTTTTTATTATACAAACATCGCTTTCATTACACTTTTACTCTAAAAATTAAATTTTGTGCTTTCATTTTTTCTTTTATTCTTTATTTTGTGAAAGTAAACAGTTTCTAGAAAGTAAAACTTGCACTTATTTTTCCACAATACATCGCACAACTACACGCGCCTGTGTGAGAAACGGTGGCACTGGGGAATGAATCCTGTACGTTTTTCATCGCAGTTAAGGGATTAACTAAAATTTAAAATTACCTCGACAGTTCTTCTTTGCTGAGCATTCCATTGTGATCAGTATCAAGATTTAAATACTGACCATATACTCGTAATGCAGAGGGAGCTGAGAACCAATTGGCTTCTTGTACATCCTTAGGCAAAGTTTCATCTCGAAGCTTCAAAAATTCAAAGTACATTAGAAAACTGTAAAATATGCTTCATTTTTCAGTTCAACATATAAAAATTAGGTACTATTCCGTTTTGAGGACCGTAAAAAATTGCAGCGAAAATGTATGCGCAAAAATGTCAAATCTAGCAAAAGCACCCATTTAACAGCATGCCAAATCTAGCGTACGAGCTGATTTCAAATTGTGTAAGTTTAGATAGTTATATATTTTTAAAGATGCCATAGAATACTAGCTTAATTAAACTAGAAATACTAGTTTAAGTTTTAAATCCTTTTTTGATTTTAAATCCTTTTCTGATATCTATGGATTTAACAATTTTGGAATTGCCCATGCCGAAAAATCTGCAATAGAATTTTTTCAAAGAAAAGGCATCATTCATTATAGAAAATTATGTTCGAACAACCAACAAGATGAAATTATGCTTTAGCGATAATTCGGTAGCAAAATAGCAATGCAGTAATCCATTCAGTTATGTTTAGCCCTTTTTATATAAATTATAATACTAAAAAAGTATTATATGAAATTAACCTTTCATATAAATTAAAACAATAATCTTTAGATAGTTATTTACTATTATAGTTCCTTTCTTGTGTTAGGGTTGCTGCAATTATTTTTGGCAGCACTGGCATCAACAATAGTTTGGTTTTCTTTTAGTCCTCAAAACGCAATAGTATCAAAAATTATTATTATTATAATGATATTTGCATTATTTCAAACAAAAATAATATGAAAAGATCACAAAAACTCAACAATAAAAATAATTCCAAGCAGAAATTTCCATACCTCTAATAGATCATCTAAAAAGCTGCATGCTAAAATATCTTGAATTTTAACTTTATTTGTCCTGAATGGATCCAGGAAGAAAAAGAATTTTCTCACAGCTGTGCACACATAAAATGAATGAAATGATGTTTCTAGACCATCTAACTGCAATTGATTACAACATCTTGATATAAAACTAATAGAATTTCACAATTTCAGCAAGAAATAAAGTTCATATTGATTACCTGTGGCAAAGTAGGAATTAATTCTAAAATGTAGTTTTCCAGATCCTGTTAAAAAATTTCATTTAATAAATAATTGCACTATATTTATTTTGTTTGTTTTCTTAAGGGAAAAAAGAGAAAGAGAGAGACAAACAGAAAAAAAAAGCTAATTATGTAACATTAAAATGACCACAGCTCTATAAACAATCTTTAAAATAATATATGTAATATGAAATTTAATATATTTACAACATAACAATAAATAATATCAAACTTGGTTGCAAAACAGAAGAATTTTTTCCCCTTCAACAAGAAACAATAGGTTTCATATTTAAAGCTAACAGAAATAAACACATCAATAACTGCCTAGGGTACGACAAGTGTCAAAACACAATTGATGATAATAAATATATTTATAATTCCATAAATTTTTTCATAATAGTGGTATTTTCATTTATTGCAACAAATATATGAGGTATTAAATCGAAACTGAAAATGTATAATTTCTCAGAAAGTACATTTTTTCTTTTAATACATGAATTTCGTGCTCAAATTAAGCCAAAATTCAAGTCTTTCACAAAATTATGCACGCTGGCATTTAAATAAAAACAGAATCACTTAGTTTATTATTACATTCATTCAATCACTTTTAAATAGAATACTTTTTTTTAATTTCAAGAAATTTTTCAATTTTCCATAAAAGAATCTAATTCATTTATAGTTTCTTATTTGGCACTATTATATGAAAAAATTAACTACTAGAGAGTTGTCTTTTTTGTAATGAATAACACTGTAATTGTGATGACTGTTATATGAATGAGTGGTTAATCAACGGTACCACTTGACAAATCAAATCGTTTCTTTTTTTACACCAACATTAGCACCAAAATCAAAACAAGAAATCAAATGCACAAACTCAGTGTCCATGTACACAACGGCCTATTTGAACTTTAAAAAAAATCAGAGAATCGCACAAACTGGGCATTGTGCACTAATTCAACTTTATCTATGTAAACATCAACCTACTTAAAAAAAGTCAGAAAACTGCACAAACTAGGCATTGCACACTAATTTAACTTTCTCCATGTATACATCGATTTATTTTCTCTTAAACAAAATCACAAGTTAAAACTGTCATGTTAACCAGAAAAAATTCGCCGCTGTCTTAACAAACAGACACAAACAAATAACCAAAAATGCACAAACACAGACTAATAAATAACCAAAAATACATATTTAATAGCATAAAAACCTTAAACAACAAATCTTTTAACAAAAATTAACACCAATAATTAAAAAAATCGTCAATTTTTTAACATACTTTTTCTTCATGTGCATACATTAAAGCCTCCCACCAGCAACTTGTCCACGTAAGCAATTCAATTAAATATCTGGTCATTTCGGCTCATCCACTGTTAATGGTGGACAAATACATATAATAGTATCCAAGAAAGCCATAAATATGTTTTCCTCCTGGCTAAACCGTGTTTAATTCCACTCCATGTTCCTTCTATTTTACATACTCCTTCCGGCAGTCAGAAATTATAGTCGTATCCAGAATAATATACTCATTTATAACACTAAGCAAACCAGATGACCTTTCAAGCCCCACTTTTATCATCACACACATGTAACCAAACACAGCAGTTAAAAATCTTCGGTCCATACGAAAGGGTTACTATTACAAAAAATAGACAAAAATCTCAACTTGTCACAATATTGGCACAGCATTTGTCAATATTTGCACAATTTTCCTCAATGCTAGTTAGCCAACATTAGGGTTATTGAAAAACCTATTTCACACAGCGAGCTTTCAGAAATCATGAACAACTAATACCACTTGCTGATTTTTTCAGATAGAAACCAAGCGGAATCATACAGTAAATATCAACCGAATGAGTTTGCTGTAATGTTATAAATGCACAATTTATCAACTGCACCATGTTTTGTAACTTTTATGTTCACTGTGAGTGGTCACTGTATAAGCAGTCACTATGAAAGAAAATCAATATCTGCATGACTGATTGCCAAAAATTAGTACTACTTAACACCTCAAGTAGGCAAACTGTTATTTCAACATTTTACGTATTAGAGACAAGTCAAAAACATACAGTAATAATCATCTGAATTCTAACACTAAAAAAGCTTTTAAATTATCAAGAAGCAAGGAAAAAAATGAGGTTGCATTCCTTCAAGAAAATGGCATCTGACTTTGTAATAGAATACACGAAAATTATCATGAAATGCTTTTATATCAATAATTATTTGGAGATAAGACATTGAAAGCTGAAGGAAGGAGAGAGGTGTTTAAGTGAAAAACTGTTACATATGAAATAAATGTAATTTTGTTATACTTTACAACTTTCATAACTTTTTTCCTGTATGCATTTTTTGCTTGGCCACTTTTTCACACTGCACATGCTGTGCTTGGCAATTTTTGTCCATTATGGCTATTACCAAAATTCTCAGTTTTTTTTTTTTTTTTTCAAAACTGATCCTTTATATAACTTTAAATTACCATATTAAAAATTATGGCTTATCTTTGTGGGCAGAAGAAAACTTTACATATTCCTTGCTTATCAATTGTCATAATTTCTCATAATTTTTTATTCCATTAACTGCTTTCATAAGATCCATTAGATGCTTATGAACACTGCTTGTAGAAGTCCTTTTGAAGCTCCATATTTAATTACACTGATTCAAGCAAGTCTTGTCTTTTCCTACTTTATATGAAATTATACTAAGCCTCTGACTTACAAGAATAGATTTATAGATTTGTATATTAAATATTGCCTGACTCATAAATACTAATTTTACCATATTTATTACATATGATTGTGCTCAGTGGAATTTAAAGTTAAAATGTTAATGTTTTTAATTAAACTAATTAATTTATATATATTTATTTTAGAATCTAAAATCAGTTTTCAATTTAAAAACCAAATTTTAAATTTGTTGTTACATATGGCTTTACTGGAAAGATCAATCCAAACATATTAAACAGCTCAAGAATGACACAAGAACAATGATATATAATAAAAAAAGAACAAACATTTAAAGTAAGAATCAGAATAAATGAACATGGAAACAAAAGTAAAAACATTTAAACAACAAGCCAAACATTTAAACAACAAGGAAAGGAACATAAGAGATGTAGTCTTTACAAGGAGTTCATGAAAATTCTGGTATTCCAGTAAAGTTTACTTATCTAAGAGCCAGATTTAGATTTGATAAGACCCTAAAAGCTAATTGAGATATGGGGCCTTTTATAAATCTGTTATACTATAATTTAATACAATATTTATATTATATTTTAATTTTTGGGGGAGCCCCAAGAAAGTGGGGCTCTAAGCTATAGCTTGTGTAGCTTATATGTAAATCCTGCACTGTATATCTCACTACATTTCAGACTCTTTATCTAGTTCTGGGGCATATAAGAAGATGTTCTGCATTCATGATGGCCAAACTGCAAATTTGGCATATACTAGATGGAAGGATGCCAATTTTATTAAGGTGATATGCCATACAATTGTGGCCTGTTTGAAGTCTGAAATTTCCCACAGCCTCTTAACGGGGTTTTCAGCAAAACCTTTTAAATGTGTCTTGAATGTTAATCTTCAATAAGTTTATAAAAGTGTTTTCTAAAACTAATAATTTAAACATGTATGTCTGACGCAGCATCTAAGGAAACTGGCAGTGTCAGTCATATACAGCTGATGTGAAAATTAACAAATTAAAAGAAAATAAGAAGTATTATTATATATTTAGTTTTATCTAGAATAGAAATTAATTCTAGATTAAAATCTACAAAGGTACTTACTACTTCCCTCAAATAGCCTTGACCAGCAACATCATAAAGTGATAAACCAATTCTGGTTTGATGAAGCCATACTTTTCTCATGACATAATTAAAGAAATGTCGAATTGATATACGACCATCAGGGTCATTTTGTAGTAATTTTGCAAAAATTCTTGCTGAAAAATATGGCCTGCAAAATAGTTTTAAAGGAATGAACATATAAAACTTTGCTCAAAAAAAAAAAATAAATAAATAAAGCATATGTTAAGCTTAACACCGTAATTTAATGATTATTCATGAAAATAAAAATTTAAAAAATTGTATATGTTTATAAACAAAATATTTTCAAAACATTTCATATATTTTCAATTAACTGTTGGTGCCTGAACACCGTTCGGGTGCTGCGAAAAGGGACTTTTTTGATTCGCTCCCACTCCAGCACTGTATTTTCCTACACCAATCCACTGACTTTCCGGGCTTTTTCACATTTTTTACTTTGAAGAGTTTCTAATAGATGTCTCTAGTAGTCCGGGAGAGACTGGATTGTAAAACCAGTTCAAGGATAGGTTTTGCAAAGAAATTCAACAAGTTTGTTTGCACATGTTCAATGTATTAGGCTTTGCAAACAGTAGTTCTTCCCAATTTTGTCATGAAATAAAAGAATGATGGGTGACAATAAATGGGTCATAACAAAATATAAGTCTGATACTGGATCAGATAGCGAATCTGAATTTTCTATAAATGATTCTGGTAGTCTTGAAAGTCTTTATCAGAATTCTCTAGTGATAATGAGGAAGTGAAAAGTTCAGATGATCTAATTCAGGTTCAAAACTTTAGTGAAATGAATACTATTAATCCTCCTCCACCACCACCACATGATTTGATTTCACAGTGAATTCACTTCTTTCATATTTATCTCCTGTTCTTTCCAGCTCTGCAGTTTCATAAAAAAGTCAACTTTAAGTAAAAATGCCTTCATTTTGCTGTAATTAAAACTTATCTCAAATTAATAAATGCAGTACTTGTAACAGTGTTAACTGCTGATTTAAATTCATGTAACCAATTAGAATATAAAATTGTTTATAAAAAATATGCTTATTTTGGGTCACAATATGGCAGGAATATGAAACAGTTAAGTAACTAAAATAAAACATAATCACATACCTGAATTTCTCATCACTTTTACTAGCAACTATCTTGAAGTCAGTATAGTTAGTCATATGATCCTGTGTGGTAAAAGGTGGAGACAAATTTTGTTCAAGTAACATCCACAAGTCCTGCATATTTCAAAACAAAAGCCATATTCAATTTATGTGTTTAATTTATGTTTAATATTTTAATATGAGTTTAATATTTTAATTTTAATATACTTAATCATGAAAAAGTAAACAAATAATATAATGCATACGTATGTTAATAAAGAAGCACATTTCTTTTAACACATTTTCTGTCAATAGTTTATTAATTGTGTTTTGATCGTTACAGTACAAGCAAAATCAAACTAAGTATCAAATTTTGGCTATTACAAGAAGCTAAGTTTTTACAGATTTTACCAAAAAAGAATAATTGTGCTTCCTTACTATGGCCCCATTTTGTAAACAATGAGAAGATTATCAATAAATTGTCAATGCAAGCCATTTGAAAATGGTTTTCAATAACATTCCTCAAAACAATCACTTATATTTGCTCATGATCAGAAGAAATCTGAGTAAATCACATTATCATATTTTCTTTCTCATATAAAGATTCACAATCCATAATCACTGGTAATTCTTTCATTACAAGAACTTGTTATGAATATGTTCCATGTGTTAACATATTTTCTTTTAAAAAAAAGTTTTAAATGTTTGATTTATTGAGAAGTGGAAAAGATGCTATACTAATTTTCTAAGAAAAATACATTTTACTGAGCATCTGAATAGGAAAGGACAGCCTTGAAAAAATTGTGGGCATAAACAAAAATATGTTAATATAGGAAAAAAAAAAGCCAACAGGATTATTCTACAATACTTAATATTTGACATGCTATGCCAAGAATTCCTTCTCACTCAGTACAATAAGCAATCACACTCACAGCAAAAATCATAGATCATGTACAAAATGAAATGACCATTTATTCAGACTATTGGCAAGCACATAAATCAGGGAAACTCAAAACAGCAGGTACTATGAGTTAGAAATTACAATCAAATTACTAAGAGTTAGAAATTACATTTTGTTGATCCAACAATAACTGCTCATACACAAAATGTTAAAACATAGCACTCTGCAAAGTGATCAGTGAGGTGAGGTTCAGCTTCATCATAAGTTTTACCTTGCAGAGTTCATGGAGAAAAGTTCTTGGGATGAGAAAATGCTTTTCAGCCATTCTTAAAAGTAATCACAGAAACATGGTAACCACAAAGTATATGTGAAAAGTATAAATGAACTTGACAATAATCCTGTCACAAATTGTTTTTAAATAATGCATGCTGTAATAATAATAATGTACCAGAACAATTAGCACATGATAATCAAAACAATTTAAGGATATGCAGAGTTGCCAAAAATCACACTTCCTGTTTGTGCATAAATTATTCTCTCTATTAACCAATATCTAACAACTGTGTTGAATATATGGTTAAAATATATTTCATTTAACTAGTTATGGCAAAGAAAAAAAAACTGATTAAAATATGCATTAGTACATACATACAGCATAGTTTTATTAATTAATACCAGCTTATTATCGTAATGATAATACCATAAATGTTATCAATATTTGTACTTATTGTCATCTTAAACACGATAAAAATTTCAACAAATCTTTAAAAAGGTGTAAGTCTCCTTTTAGTACCTTTTGGTGCAGGACAAAGTTCAAAATTATAAAATAAAAATAGCATATAAAATCTTCATTATTAAATAACAAAGAATCTGTATGTATGTATGTATGCACAGGGTGGTCATAAAAAAAACTTTTCCAATATTAGAACCCTTAGTGGCCTATCCACTCAACCAATCAAAATGAAATTTCAGATATTGTTATTTGAAGGTATGTGCTCGAGATTGTGTTGATTTAAAACAATAGAGCCATCACAGTTACAGATGCAATGAAAAATGTTTTATCTCATCTTGCTACTGCTTTAAATGGTCCATTGTAAAGGACTTGGAGTGGCTTTCTAACTCCGCCATCTCAAACAAACATATCGTTAAGTCGAGGATGAATAAAACAGGTTTGCTGGTCATGGCTGGAAGTCGCAGTCAGATGAACACTGGCAAGGTGGGATTTTAAGTTCTTCACAAACTGTTTGGGAAATGCATCCATAGGAGTCCGATCAAAAAATTATCTTGGGAGACGAAGTCTTTCCCCATACAAGTTCAGAAGGTGGTTGCCCCTATGTTCTCCTTTAGAGCTAAGCAGAAACCCATTAGGAGTTTTAGAAGGGCCACCACCCAGAAACTGGAATCATACACTTTTAAAGGAAGGAGAAACTCCTCAATAAGTCCATTCACCTGTGGATGGTACGGACAGTGGTTGGTACAAAAGTGGATGTCTTGATTCCCAACAATTGAGAAAGGGCTGGAAATAATTCACTTTCAAACTGTCACCCTTGGTCAGTAGTAATAACCGGACAAACAAACTGACTAATCGAGTTGGTCTACTGTGTGTGCAGCTACTATATCTGGTATGGGTATGTGCATATCTCCAGTGTGCAAGACTGTTGACAGTCGGAAAAATGAGGGCGAAAATCAGCATTTTCAGAGTTTTTAATTAATATCTCTATCTTAAGTTTTGAGTTTATTTATTTTTTTTTTTTTAAAGAAAAAGGATATCGACCTTTCCCAAGACCCAGAAAAGAATTGTAGAAAGTAATGATAGCTGTATTAGGTACTGAGTTAAACGCAAACAAACACAAATATTCTTTTTTATATAGATAGATAGACCATCAGCAAGGCTTCTGAAAGCATAACAGTTACTTTTTATTATTTCATTTTCCTGTAAAGTGCCTTTTCGAACTCTACTTTATAAATGTAATATAACAAGTTTTGTTAATTTTCAGAATTCAACCTTATTTTCCTCTCCATTCAAATTTTATTTTAAAATAATAATAATAAAAAAGACATGACCAGGTTTCTAGCATTAACAATAATGACATACAGTTTTAATTTTAAACACCTCTAAAAGTACAAAATGATTTATTAAAACTTTACAAGAAAAAATAAAGAGGAAATCACCTTCAGATCTTCATTGTCAAGTAACTCTCGATTTTTTCTTTCAAGAAAAACAGCTCTGAAAAAGTTTTGGTTATTTAATAAATCATCATTTGAAACATCTTATAATCAAAACAAACATGGTGGTTCTCAACCTTTTTTTACCTATGCACACTTTTTATGATAGCTAGATGGTCATTTCCATTCTCCTTCTTTCCAAAATTCCAGAAATACATATACAGTCAAAAGTCGTTAATTCAGACACCCTTAATCCAGACCTCAAAGCTACAAACTTTCTGTGCATGCGTCGCGTTGACGCATGCACGTAAG